CACGACGGCCATCTGGTAAACATTTGGTGCAGATTAGGTGCGTATTTGCCATTTGGTCTGTATATTTGGTCAAATTAGGTTCACAGTGTTTCTTGAAAGTTGTTATAGTGGGTTGCGAAGATGCTTATAAGCCTCATTTGTCAAATTATCAGATAATATTTTCGATTAAAACACTGAAAAAAATCATGATATGAAGATATTTGTTGTAAGAGGGAGATGGTGCAGATTTGGTCAAATTAAGTATATACAGGGTGATCCAAAAAATTTGGAACCCCTAACTTAAAATGTCTATAAGTCCGAAAGTATTCCCTTTATTGACAAATTGCGAACACCATTAGAAAGAGCATTAAATCCTCTATTAAATCACGTCAAATTGGTGCATGTATGCTGTAAAGCATTGGCACACTACTAGCTTTTGGAATGAGCGTCAGAAAACTGAGTGAAACGAAATCGCCAAATGTTAACAATGCGCTGAAATCCGTTAGCACTCTATCTGTTGTCTTTTTGCGAATAACAGCACATCCAAATTCAATTTTATTGCATAAAAGTTTACACAAAAGCACACAGTAGAACAGATACACGCGTCCTAGCTTCCGCTGTTCATCCCAGCACTTGTGCTCAACGCGAGCTCCGTGGGCCGTCACGCAGGCCTGCAGTTGCTTGGGGACAGCTCCGACTGCGCGGACCAGCAGTCTCTGGGACAACTGGTCCCAGCAGGCCGTCAGCCTTTCCTTTCCTTACAATAGCACGTGAATGAGCTATTTTTATTCATGAACCTCCAACAAGCGACATGGTCAGAACAGCAAACCGTCAATCACTGATTTGCGCATAGGTAATGTTCAAAACCGTTTCACTAAGTTTCGTGACACAAATTTTATAGTCATATGTCTAGGGCAATACTTATAGTAATAATTAAGTTCAATCAACTTGGTTTTATAGAGAATTGAACGTTCTTTCTAATGGTGTTCGCAATTTGCCAATAAAGTGAGAATTTTCTGACTTACAGACATTTCAAGTTAGGGGTTCCAGTTTTTTTGGATCACCCTGTATGTTACAGGCAAAGTGAAAACTCGGGCATTTTGCAAAATGCCTAGGCAATTTGCAAAATGCCTGACTGGCTAGGCATTTTGCAAAATGCCCAGGCAATTTGCAAAATGCCTGACCGGCTAGGCATTTTGCAAAATGCCTAGGCAGTTTGCAAACTGCCTGGCCCACCAGGCATTTTGCAAACTGCCTGAAATTATTTTCTCAGGCAGTTTGCAAAATGCCTGACATCGAACTCACACCAGCGACGATGCGTAAGCATCATTGTAAGTGCCGCCAACAGGGGTTAATCACAAGCGATACGCACCAAGTGGGAGGACACACAGTGAGACATTCTCCGGGTAGCGCTGCCGAGTTCAATGTCACTGAGCCACAGGCAGCGCGTGCGGCCCGGCCGCTGCGCCGGCTACCGGGCGCCCGGCGCGGTTTTATCGGTAAACACACGCGTTAAACACGGTTATGTTTCTCAGAGCCTTGATGGCTCTGGAAATCAGGGCTGCGGAGTCGATGGATTTTAGGGTGACTCCGACTCCGACTCCGACTCCGGCTTCAAAAAACGACTCCGACTCCGACTCCAACTCCGACTCCGGACGGTTCTATTAAAATACATATCATGATATTGAAGTTCATAATGGAGATGTTTTTATCTTCCCTGAAACGATCTCTTGTGCTTTCCAAGGGGTTGCGTTGCAAATTGGCATTAAAAATAACATGCAGAATTAAAAAGCAGGTTCTGAGGAATTCACCGTCTTCTGCTTCCTTCGCTGTAAACGTTCGTCCAAAACAGCAAAATAACCTTTTTTTCGACAAAATCTAATTTCGAGCGCAGTATCGTCAATTAAACAGGTGCAGTGCATGACGCTGAGCCATGCAGGCAGCGTTAACTCCGGCTCCGGAGTCGGAGTCGGTAGGATTTTGGCGACTCCGACTCCGACTCCGACTCCGGGCAGAACTGTCGACTCCGACCGACTCCAACTCCGACTCCGACTCCGATTCCGCAGCCCTGCTGGAAATACTGTGTGTGGATATTGATCAGAAAAGAATGTTCTTTCGATTTATGGTAGCTTGGTTGGCGAGCCACACGTCTACATTATCAATGCATTGTGACTGTGTAAAGATGAACATGCCCGTTGCATGTAAAACTTGTAATTTCTAAACGTCTTTTTATTACAAAGGTGTGCACGTGGGTCGTGGATGACCAAAAACTTGCTTTTCTGGAAAAGCGGAAAAGCCACATGTTCTTGTTGTCTATGGAATGTATCTCATCTCATTCCAATTTCCAATGCATTGCCATTGTTTTTTTAAAATGCAGTTTTTCCTGAAATGTACCAAAAATGGCTGATTTCTCAAGATATAAATCATTTCTTTCCACGTGACACGTGATTCACAAAAATGTTTATTGGATACGCTTGTCTGCTCTATCGATCGCTGGCAACCCCGTGTCGCTGCCGTGATGTAAATAAGCACGGGAAACGAAGAATGTCGGGTCAATATTCGGCTGGTCGCCGCGTTTTTCCGCGCCCATGTTTCTCTGTGCCATGCTCCGCGCCCCATCGCAGCATACCTACACACGAACGGCTACAACTCCGTATACGAAAATTATAGGGAGACGTTGGCTCAATCTACACCAGTTCCATCTCGACGGAAGTGGCGCAAGACGTGGGTATATTCGTAAATATTGAATGTGTTTGGGGCGGCTCAGGCACATGGGAGCGACATGGTCAACGCCTGTGGTAAACAAAAACGGTAAAATAAATCAATCACAACTCAGGCTTTTTGCAAAATGCCTGACCCGCCAGGCATTTTGTAAACTGCCTAGGCAGTTCGCAAAATGCCTGGTGGGTCAGGCAGTTTGCAAACTGCCTAGGCATTTCGCAAAATGCCTGGCGGTCAGGCATTCTGCAAATTGCCTGGGCATTTTGCAAAATGCCTAGCCGGTCAGGCATTTTGCAAATTGCCTAGGCATTTTGCAAAATGCCCGAGTTTTCACTTTGCCTGTAACATATAGATTGACTCAGCAGCATAAATCAAATTAGGTGCATTCGCCAGATAGCCCGTCTTAAAAACGGCTGTCCCGTCTCCCCCATTGATCCCCGTCTCCACCATTGATCACACTTGCCTTTTTATTCGGGTTGACGATTATCCCACCACACAATCGGCGCAGTGGAAGACAGTTACAGAAGGACCTCAAACTCTCTGGGCCCTATAGGGTAACCGTTTGAGTAGCTGGGCGGCCGGTCTGCCTGACAGACATTTCCGTCTCAGCGGATTGGCTCAATTACACCAGGCTCACCAACACCAGGCTCACTAGCACCACTGAGGAGCACCAGTCCCCCGTCGATTCACCCCATGTATCCACCTTACCCCCGTACTTCACGGCTAAAGCAGAGTAGAGCCGGAGATGAGATAATAATGTGATATGAGGTCATCCATCCATGGTCATCCATGGTCATCCATCATATCATCCATGGTATAGCCACACTGGTGTGTAGCCTAACTAGTTGAACTTCTTTGATCTTAGACCATGCTGTGCACCCTTGAAAGTTATACTTCTATAGATACTTCACTATAGTAAATCATAAAAAGCCGATGCTTACTGGCGCCAGGCTTCTGGGACTTTTAGAAAACTCGCAGAGCAGTAATCAGCCGTTTATCACGAGTTTCTGAACGGTTTCGCTCGACGCGGCCTTCCGCGACACATGACGTGCGCGTTTTCATAGCTTTTCCCGACACCACACCGTATGACGGCACTAATCCAGACTTGCCGGTCACGTGATGTAACGGGCCCTTTCTCCGCGCCAGTGGCGTCCATCGACCCCGCCTCTTGTCTCGGAGACTTCCGTCTGCTGTCCCTTCGCCCATCACCCAGCTCCCGTACATTGGTCCCACCCGCTGACTCGTCTTCCTTTCCCAACGCTCGTCATAACTTCCAGAACGCATCGAGCGACGAGCATCAAATCGCGTGGCTTAGGTGAGACTGCACTTACAAAAAATAAAAATAAACACATCACGGATTGAGCTGCCGCCTGTCGAATTAGTATTGGTGCCGGTTAAGGTACGGACAATTTGTTTGTGACTACTGTCTTCTAACTCGGGATATTTACCCACAGTAGGAGCTTAAAACTGTTTATAAATGTGTGCGGCGCTAATGTATTTACATGTCAGCGCTTCTATGTTTCCAACGGTTGCTAGTCTGACGATACAAGTCTAGAGTGTTTCACTTCGAATAAAGCAAGCCAGTAATTGCCAATTTTAGATAATTTGAAAGCTGAAACCATATCATGCCTAGGTAAGTGCCAGTGCCCTCCCCATATGATGAAATTCAGAGAAAGCTGACCTTCATCAAATACAGACTCCATGTTTGCGCTTCCGAGAGACTTGGACTTCACCTGTGCCCTACAGTTATCGATAATTGATAAAACCGAAATTCTGCCAATACTAGTTTGATCTACCAAATATCAATTCGGTATTGGTATGGTATTCATGTAGGTATGCAAGTACTATAAAGATTTATCTTATCGACTGCACTGAGAGCAGCAAAAAAAAAACAGTTAGAGACTTACAACTCTGATGGGCGTTCAACAGCAGGCATCGTGACACACAACAAGGAACCAAAAACAAAGGACTGAATTAAAACAAGGCGCCTTGGTCGAGTCGCGGCAGCTGCATGCCTAGGTTTCCCTGGCACTTGCCACTTGGATCTCAAATGTGTGGGAGTGGTCGAGCTCGGGTGGCCCGGCTGGCTGCCACCACACGGCACACACAGCCTGCTTTCGCCGGGAGTAACACTCCCAGGCGGGCTGTATGCCCCTGTGCGGTCGACAGGGCCCCACTTTAGCGTCTCGCTCTGTCTGTGTCGACAATGACGTCACGGCCTACCTGCGTCGGCGTGACGTCAGACCTAGCGGCGGCGGCGCGGGCGGGCGGCCGGTCCGGCGCGGCGCCCGGCTATTGATCTGCCAGCATGGCCGCGGCACGGACGCTACTGGTGGCGCTCCTGCCCTGCCTGGGCCTCGGCCTGGAGACGGCTCGGTTCCCGCTGCTCATGCCCAAGGTGGTGCCGCCCAAGGTAAGGATCTCACACCCGCGGTCCGTGCGGCGCCAGTGTGCTGCTCCCCGGACCGGCGCGGGACCGCGCAGCCTGACCGACCCGACGGGATCCTCTTGTGACCCAGCCGGTTCCGGTCGGCATTCTGGGGCAATTGTGACCGTTACATTAGTTTGTCTACCGCTACTGCCACCGTCCTTCCCGACATTTGGGCCGTCCAGGGCGCTGGAAGCTCCCCGTCCGGCGCCATATGTCCCAGTTGCATCAGCGCGGTGCAGCCACAGGTGGCGCCCGATTTAGGCCGCTCAATGGTCAATAACGGCGCCGCAGCCAGACTGCGAACGGGCCAGCCGGAAGGGCGCAATATGCTCGGTATTTGAGAGGCATCAAACAGGATAATGTTCCACGGGGGATTGGCTTAATTTTGAGTTAGTCGAAAAGGTACGTGGACCTTGAACCCCTTCCATGAAGTTAGTTCAACTTCACCTGAGCCTGAGCAATTAAGCCGTCGCTTAGAAAGCTGTGTTCCACTTCATTCCATGTTGGATTTATTTCATTGCTGAACCATCTGATGTGTATACAATACATCTTCCTTCATTTTTACCATTTCATTTGGCTGATAAAAGCAAACAAATCCGGTAAAATGGTCACCTTTAATTACAAGTTACAACGGATTATATATATAGACAAAATTGCAGATCTGGATCGAAGCGCCTTACCATTTATTTATGCATAGTTGTGCTGCTGGCAGTATAACCTTCATTCTGTCTTGCCCCATATCTACATCCAGCATCGTAATGATTCGTCCGAGGCTGCTATTGGATCGATTGGATCAACCGATAACTACGGCAGTACGCCGTGATTGCATAAGTCCAATAACTGCCGCGCCATGATAGCTGGTGTTGCGCACCTTCTGTGGCGCTAATCCGGATGGAACAGGGTAGCAGCAAAAATATCCAACCAGAAATTTGTGTTTTCATGTTTTGATAAGAAAATGAAATACCGCAAGCTATCTTGCTTTTATAATTAAATTAAGACAACCTGAAAGGTTCCTAAGTAACTAAAATTTCGCGTTCATGCTTACTGGCATCGTTATGAAGCATCTAAGGTTACCTTCTTTTTTATCTAGCCGCAGCATCCTTCACTCTAGCCCCAGACTGTACCGCCCTGAACCATCGTGGCTCACTGTACTTCCCTTTATGTATGTCAGTGAGAGTGGTATGGTGCATCTACGGCGGGCAGGACCTTAGTCACGACCGACTGCATCGTGTCGGCTCCGCGGACTCCAACCGGTTCCCAAGATCGCATATTGGCGGTCCAGTGCAGCCGCACGACCCCACCGGAAAAGTCCTCACCCACGTGATATTCGAAAATATTCAGGGGAGTTTTAAAATAAGAAAACGGAGTTGTTTATTACCTTGGAATTAACAATCGCATTGCTAGATAAAATGAAGCCAGCGCTTTTACTCCAAACGGTGTTATGAATACAAATGCAATGCAAATCCCTTCTGGCACAAGCCCATTTAAATCTCGACAATGCCGTCATTTATGTTGGTCATGCGGATACTGTACGACGGCAATGTTACGTGGTGGGACATAAAACAAGTGAGAGCGAGCCTATGCGCCGTCACCCCCTCCCCTCCCCAGTGGGTAGAGAGCTACGAACCGACTGAGGTCAGCATGGTCGGACGAAAGATGCAACTGTCACTGACCGATATCCAAGTCCACCGATATCCAAGTATGCACACGATGCACTCTGGGGAAACTAAAAGCCAGCGGTCACTGTCTGGGATGATTTGGGCACATATAGTTATACAATTCAAACGGCAAGCTCAAAATTTGAAAAATGTCCGTAGTTTTGAAGGATATGATGACCTTGTGGTTTGTATGCATGCGCGGTTTTGTGGGAATATAAAATACAATTTGACGTCAACGTAGAGTAAATGGAAATGTACATACTCATGCTGTTCGACCGCATAGGTAAAGGCCGAGTCCCACTATCGCAGTACAAAGGTAAGGTATAGCTTTGTGAAAAAGTAAGGCAAAGGTCTGATGCAACCCCCAAGCATGGTAAAATAAAGCGAAATATTTTTTTTCCGTTTGTGTCGTCACGGTCAGTAGTCACCATGCTGGACTGTCGTATTCTAAGGCATTTTGTGTGCGATAATAGACGTTTTGGTCATTGCGAGCAAACATGCATCGATGTGATTGTGTATCAATTTTGGTGTTTCATGTTGACAGTTGATGTCTTATGTTTCAGCCCGAAACGTACTTCTGCACCTCCGTGCGGCTGTTGGACGACAAGGATCAATACATTCGTAAGTTTATATTTATGCCAGATAAACATCAATCTCAAATAGCACAGGCTTTCTCAATATTTTTAACACTGTGTAATCCAAACACATGGAGAAGCGTGACATATAGGAAACATTATAGGGTCATATCAATTAATTACTAATCAATAATAATTGTAATCGTGCCAGGCGAATGGAAGCTAATTGTGATGTGCTCGGTGTGTGATTTGTGTAGCAAAAGAACTGTTTGAGGGCTTGGGTTAAAGTGTATGGCAACAGGCAAATATGCGCGAAACATCGCATATTTCCTATGTAGACAGAAATACCTACATTAGATGTAGAAGTCATTTTTTTCTGTAGCTGCCGAAAAATAAGACATCAAATGGCTCTATCGTTTTTCACGCATCAGCTTTTCAAAAGCCAATATCTCCCGGAAGAAAACGTAAGGAGAGTGGGCGACGATGGCGGTGACGCTTTTCCCAAAGTTTCTCTTCATCTCGCGTGTTCTGGATATCACGTGCGATGACGATGGCGGCCGCCCCAGCACAAATCTCACGATGAATTGAGAATTTCAGTCACCCGACTGGCAGCCAAACCGAACGGGACTTGTTTCAGAGCATTAGTGGCCGGGACCGGTGAGATGCGACCTGTAGGCTTCAGACAGTTTATCTGATAATTGTTGGACGGAACAACTGGGTCACTTTCATCAAAGTTAAGATGCCAGAGAACATTAAACCCTTGACAGGTTTTCGAATTCCTCCCTATTTAATCGCTGTGTAATGGGGCGTGTTGGAATCAAAAGAACTAGATTTCGCTGTACGAGTATTTGTAACGTGAGAACCGATAAACGGGAACATCGGTATTAGTGGTCTGATGAGTGACTATTAAAATATGGGTTCGAGCGGACGTACTACATTCGATTACATGTGTGTTAGGAGACCATAGACAGTAGATGCTAATAAGTTGCTACGGTTAAGCAACGAGAAAACACAGTTTTCATAGCTAATAGATACCAAAAATTATATTGTGTCTGGAGATGTTTTATTAGCCTTCTGTCAGCTCCAAGTATGTTCAGGCATCAATATCGATTAAGCAGAACAGTTTTTTTCAAAGCGTCAAACATAACAAATAACACGAGCTGTTCACCCCCCCCCCCCACCCCACCCCACCCCAAAAAAAAACATTGCGTAGGATAAAATAAAAACTGAAAATTCGGCTCGAAAATAGCATGAACAGAGGATAGCATTGCCTTGTGAATATCAATCAAAACACTGTTCGTCACTAGGACCTCACCCTAACCATCTTGTCCGTACCGACAGGGAGCTTCTAGCCCAATGCCACTCGCTCTGACCGTGTTGACCGTTCCTGCAGCGAGTTTCGACCTCAAGTGACCGTTTTCCCCGCGCCGACAGTGAGTTTCGAGCCCAATGCCACCCAGAACACGGCCCACCACATGCTGCTGTACGGCTGCGAACAGCCGGGCACTGATGACGCCGTCTGGAGCTGCGGCGACATGGCCATCAGCGACCCCAGCAAAAAGTCGGGCCCCATCTGCCGCGGCACGTCGCAGGTAAGTGCCCTCAACATCATCGGCGGTCCTTTAGTTACCTAGAAAAAAGTTAATTTTGTACTTTGTCAGTCACAAAATAAGTCGACAGAGAGATTATTGTGGATCGACACACACCCCATGTTTGAACATAGTGTAGCCCGCATGCACGGCGGTTACGTAGCCCGTAACCACGTCACGCGCTACGTCAAACGTCACCCTCATGTGGGCTCAGGGCTGTATACTGGTTGTGCAGTCCTCATAGACGGCGCACAGCTCAGTCCATTCCGACCTCCCTGTCCTATCCTCCGACTCTCTCCCACTCCCATCCCCTCCGACTCTCTCCCCCCTGTTCGCCACGGCGTCTGAGCGCCCCGTCACGCTACCCACACAATACACGTGAATAAGTACCCGATTTAGGCCGCCCGCCAGCGGTAACGGATCGCACACGCCGCTGAGGTTCGTTCCAGTCCTCTGGAAGAGGGGTCAACAGCACACAACCGTTTCCGCTCCGGTCCCAATCCGTCCTCAGTCTACTATGTGCCGGGCCCGATTAGTTCCCAATCAATTCTTCGTCTCTTTCTCGGTTCCAAAATAGCTCCCACTCTAAATTGGTTAGTCTCCGATTTCGGTCAGTTCCTGGTCCATTTCCCGATTCGATCCAGCCTAGGAGGGCAGTGGACACGGGGCAGGTGGGAACCGACACTATATCCACTGACCGCCGCGCTCCAGACCGGTTCGTCTGGTGTAGCGCTGACCCAGTCCGTGGCAGTAGGTACCGACCGCTGACCCAGTCAGTTCAGGCATAATCCAGCCGGTGCCAACAGACCGGACGGACCGGCAGACCGGCTAACGGGTCAGCTCCACCGCTCTGAGAGGACTCTGTTTCTACAGAATCGGTGACAAATCTTGTGTCGCGGCTAAATAATGAAAACAGGCAATCATATAGGTACTGGCGCTGCTTTTGGTTTAGCAATTATCTTGCTTTTGATGCCATGCTGTTTGTGACGGGACTGACTTCTAATCTGCCTTTTATCAGTGATCACTGGTGAATGGTGAGTGACTCGACCAAGTATTATCAGTAAACCTTTGTCAGCTGGAAATGACAAGCAGTTAGTGCCTTGACGATCACAGATCACTGACCAATGGCTATCCATCCGCAGATAATCTACGCCTGGGCCAAGAACGCGCCCAAGCTGGTGCTGCCAGACGGCGTGGCATTCCACGTCGGGAAGAGCACCAAACTCAAATACCTGACTCTGCAGGTTCACTACGCTGACGTATCGCCGTTCAAAGGTGAGGTCAGCGCGGAATCAGCGCGGGGTCAGCGCAGGTCAGCGCAGGTAGGTCTTGCAGGTCAGCGCAGGCGGGTCAGCGTCTCTGCTGGCCGCAGGGCTATCATGACGCACTAAAGTCACCTTGAGGATAGGAGCTAATGCGCATTACGGCAGTAGAGGTTATGAGAAGGACGAATACGGTAAGCGAGCTGCCATGGCGTGGGAGCGGAGCAGTAAATTGGAAGGTAGCGGAGGCTATAAACGAGCGGTGCAGCCCGGCATGGGAGCCGAGGACTGAATGGAACGGCAGCGCGGCGGTCAGCTGAGAATAGGCACCGGAGTGGGCTCAGCGTCCGGATGTAACGACTGCTGAGCATACAGACCGCCACACAGACACAAACACGTCCGAGCAAATAGCAGCGCGCGAGATCACACACCGAGACGTGTGAGGCATACAAATTAGGTGTGACTTTGTAAGGACTGAGGGAACATGGATATGTGAAAGGCTCGTGGGCATGTGGCTCATTAACTGGGCTGATATACATATTACAACTCCCCAGAAGTTTGTGGTATTTCCGGAACAGGCTGTGTAGTGTGTAATGTAAGATAATCTTTAACCTTTGTTTCGCGCAGCAGCGTCTGACGTAGCCTGATTTTAATGACGCCATTAATTATTTGACGTGTAGGTGTAGGTACTAAAAACGTGTGGTGTAAGTATTCAACCCATTTAATTATAGTTTCCCGAAAGCCGGAGGTATTTAAGCGCCGCTCTCTATTAAAACGGCAATACTTGCACTCAGTCCCAAAAGTAAAGCATACTTACCTTCAACTGCCCTTCTAGCATGCAGTACTGTAACTGATTGGCTAGTTCCTGCACAAAACTCCTAAATCACTGGTTCGCGATACATGCTAAAATATCATCCGTTACGTTTCAGATGGAAAAACTAAGGACGACTCCGGGGTCTTCCTCACTTATACAGAAACGCCGTAAGTAAAAACGAATTGAAACACAAGTTAGCAATTGAATTTCTACTTAAGTTAGAGTTAGTGCCTTTGTCAAGTAAATTGTAAACTTTTAGGGGTGTAGTTAAATGTGTTGTGTAGACGGAACACAACTGATAAGTTGACAATTTTTAATCTTCGTTTTGAAATGTATTTATACATTTTTAAAATTTAAGTATCATATGAATATTGAATATATAGGAACCGCCATACGATTGATCAATAAGCTAAAAGAGGTACGCAGATCCACGGGGCGGGTACATGGCAGGTGAAGTCCCTATCATGACAAAATCGAAGTTTCTCCACTCGTACACTTTTTTTGCGACTACACATGCCAATGTTTTCGAGCGGCCGATTGGCAAACGTTTCCCGACACCACGCAAAAAGTGGCTCTCACCGTCTGTCCAGAATGCGCCGTCCGCTCGAGACGTCATTCTCATTTATCAGATATCTGCGCCGCTATACGTGCGGTGCCGCCACACCGGCCGCCACTCACCGCCGCGCCGTCGGCATCGGCAGCGAGCGGGTCCTCAGTTTCGGCAACATCCGGGTCACCAGCCCGCCCCTACGATCCACATAAAAAGCGTGCATCATGTGAAGAAAGCCTCGTCTGATGTGAAGAAAGCCTCTCAGTCTCTGGAGTGCCAGCCGCAAATATCACGTGACCGAGTGTCGTGTTCACTACCGCGCTGACGTTTTTGCTCGCTGGCTCCTGGCCAACTAACCATGAGATGTGACTTTCACTCGGTTTCATCCCGTGAAAGCATACTAACTGATCACGTGACTGGTGACAGCGCTATCTGCGGCTCAATCGCTGGTGAGCATAGCGGTGTTTTGTTGCTCTGTTAGTTCCGCTAAACTTCACCCAACATCCGTTAAAATCCGTTTTCTACATAGTTTTACCACCCACAAAGCACATTTCTTTATGCTCCCGTTCATGCCCTCACCAAATCTCTCTCTCTCTCTCTCTCTCTCTCTCTCTCTCTCTCTCTCTCTCTCTCTCTCTCTCTCTCTCTCTCTCTCTCTCTCTCTCTCTCTCGCCCTCTCGCCCTCTCGCCCTCTCGCCCTCTCGCCCTCTCGCCCTCTCGCCCTCTCGCCCTCTCGCCCTCTCGCCCTCTCGCCCTCTCGCTCTCTAGCCCTCTCGCCCTCTCGCTCTCTCGCTCTCTCGCTCTCTCGCTCTCTCGCTCTCTCGCTCTCTATTTATTTATTATTTTTATTTCTTACTCCCTCTCTCTCCACCTCTCCCTTTTCGCGCTCGCAAGCAGAATCACTTATATATGATGTAATAGATGATAGGTAAGGATGATATGATGAAAGTTGAAAAGCTGAAGTGTTTTCCACACCAGCTTTAAGTTAACATGCATTCGACATCCGGATAATCAGGGATAATTTTCCGGGATCACCGGGATCATTCGTTTTTTTAAGCTGACACCGTATACAACGGACATGACAACGAGTAAAAGAGCCGTTAAAGAAGCAAAAGCAATCTAAAAATGTGACTAATTGCATCGATAGTCCCTGCAACATCAAATTATTGCCGGTGATGCCGGATAATTATCCCTCAGAGGGCCTCTCTACACCGACCACACACCACATTTATGCCCGAATAGGTACTCACCAACGTTGTTTGCGGGCTGTCCACTAAGTTGCGGACTATTTCTTATGTGCATTGAACCATTGCTTGAAAAAATACGCTCGTGTCGCCTCATCAAGGGGTTCAGTTTCGGGGATACGGAGATTAAGGTCTCAGCGTATGCTGACGACCTGCTCCTTATTACGGACGGGGAGCCCACATCACTGAGAGAGTCGGTTAAACTGATGAATGAATTCCACGCAGCATCAGGACTGAAATTAAACGACAAAAAAACTCGGCCATTGTGGATAGGGTCAAATGCAGATGCAGACCATCGCATCTGCCCAGAATTAAAGCTAGGATGGAGTCACGGCCCTGCAGAGTACTTGGGGGTACTTCTAAACCCCAAAGAGAAAAACGTAGCCGAACCCAACTATGCCAGAAAGATAAGCGCCTTGGGAAGGAAACTTGCACCATGGGGCTCAAAAGGACTTACCCCATACGGAAAAGTACATATCATTAAAACTGAGGCACTTTCACAACTTACATACTTAATGAGCGTACTGGCTCGACCTTCCGCGGATCAGATAAAAGAGATCAACAGAATTGTTTACAAATTCATTTGGGGAACGACAGACAAAATAAAACGCAAAACACTAATTAATGACAAGGCGAAAGGCGGATTAAAGGTGCCAGACGTGGGCGTTCAATCGGCGAGCTTAAAGATTGCATGGGTAAAAAAATTCATCAACCCTGACTGCAAGAGCAAATGGAAAGCGGTGGTCAAAGATAAGCTTACAGTTGCAGAAGGCGTCACAGTGTTTCACTGCGAAGGAAACGTTGAACTCTTATCCACAGTTAGGGACAGCTTTTGGGCGGAGACAGCGGAATCGTGGTTTAAACTGGCCAAAGAACTCGATAAAGATGCATCTGGTGGTCAATGGCTTTCAAAACCTCTTTGGTTTAATGCAGAGTTGAATCTAGAAAATAACCCAAACATTCGAAAACGCGAACTCATCAGGCGCAGACTTCTAAGAATAGGTGACATTTATCATACGGAGCATAAACGAATGTTCACCGTTAACGAGCTGCAAAGCAGATATGGCTTCGGGCATTTTCTGATGTGGCAAGCGATGTTGCGTAGTGTCCCCAGCCATATCAGCAGAAAACTCGCACGAGACAAGCCTGGCAATGCCGAACCACTGGATAGCATTATAAAACTAGAAGAAGCTGGCAAAACGGCGCAGTGGTCATATAATATCCTACTTAAGAACTCCAATCCTACCAGTCCTACCAACAGTCAACTTAAATGGAGCAATGAACTGGCTCTTAATCAGAGCTTTAACTGGGAGAAAGCATATAGTCAACTGTATTCAAATACATCGGACTTCAAGCTCAGGTGGCTCCAATTTAGAATATGGCACAGAATCATCCCTACCAATGCTCGTCTAGCGATTTACGGGATACGGGAGACAGACGACTGCGACAGGTGTCCGGGCATAAGGGAGTCCATCCAGCATATTTTCCTTCAGTGTCCCGTAGTCGTTAAATTCTGGAGTGATTTCCGCAGTGCTCTAAGAGTAACTGTGGGAAGGCCAACGATACTTTTGAGTGAACCAATCCCAGATAGCCACCTTTCAAAGCAGTTATTTTACGTTCTTATTCTTCTTGCAAAATGGTATATTTGGAGTTGTAAACAACTTAACTTTATTCCTCATTTTAAAGGCTTTACCTCATGCGCGCTTGACTATATTGCAGTAGAAAGGTGTATCGCGAATACGGCAGGTCATAGGCCCGGGCAGCGCTTGTCGAACAGCACTGCGGATCCGAAGGTTGGGACTTGAATTGTGAAAAACCGCCCGCCCGCCGCCAAACGCAAACACCGCAAAACGCGCAAAACGGACGCCAAAACGCCAACGCAAATGCCGCAAAAAATCGCCCGCGAAAACCGCAAAAAAAAACTCAAAAAACGCAGCAAAAAAATCAAAACCGCCCGCATCGCACGCACCCCAAACGCCAAAAAACGCCCGTCCGCCGCAAAACGCGAAAACCGCAAAAAAACGCAAACCCCGCCGCCGCAAAAAAAAACCGCATCGCCCGCCGCCAACCGCGAAACGCCGCAAAAAACGACCGCCCGCCGCAAACCGCAACACCGCAAATAACGGCCGGCCGCCGGCGACCGCAAAACGCTGCAGAAAGCCGCCCGCCGCAAACCGCAAAACGCCGCAAAAGAAACGGCCAACCGCCACACACCGCCGCAAAAACGGCCGCCCGCCGCCAAACGCAAACACCGCAAAAACACCCGCATCGCCCGCCCGCCCGCCGCCAAACACAAAAACCGCAAAAAACGCAAACACCGCCGCAAAAAAAACGCCCGCAACGCCCGCCGCCAACCGCAAAACGCCGCAAAAAAAAACGGCCGCCCGCCGCCAAACGCAAACACCGCAAAAAAAACGCAAAAACGGCCGCCCACCGCCTAACACCGGAAAAACGCAAACACCGCCACAAAAAAACGACCGCCGTCCGTTAAACGCAAACACTGACGCCATTGACCTCTATTGACCTCTATTAGGTATTATAGAGGTCAATGACTGACGCATTAAGACAAATATGGCGCTCTGCGGCAAATGTGGTGCATTCATATCTGCCGTTTAAGCAGCCATCCCTTAATTACAGCGCATCCTAATCGTCCAATGTTCGACAAAGATACGCACATTCTGCGATTTGCGGCAAAAATGGCGCTTTGAGACAAACGTGGCGCACTGAGTCAAACGTGGCGCATTTGTTCCTGTCGCTTAACATTTCATCCACCCACCAAATTCTAGCCTAATCGGACTTAAACTGACAATGTTATGCACATTTGAATATTTCACTGTAAGATATCTCCGCAAAGGAGGTGCCCAAATTTGCACGTGTGCCATGTGACCGCCGGTGGTGTAAGCAGGACTTGTCCCCTCACTGATTGCACCATTTCAGTGTTCCTGGCTTGTGCTGTTTTCGTGCTATAAGGCCACAAATCGGCAAACACACGATAATCTGGGAGGTACGCGACTCAAACACGTGGCCACGTGGCACGTGCCGGACCTCTGATAGCTTCACCGCTCACGCCACGTGATGACCCATCGACGTGGCCATCAGCATGTAAAAGATGACCCCGGCCGGTGTCACCGTCTCTGAACAGTGGACGGCTAAACTCGAAAAACGGGAAAATTTAGGGAAATTTCACCTTTGAATATATAATTTCCCCAGAATTTTGAATTTTTCATTTTACAAAAAATCCGAGATAGCAGTTTTTTAGCCCCCTTCATTCTGTGCCTATACCCGTTTTCAGATCGACCCTATCATAAAACCTGACGGCCTGACGGCTATTTCCCCCATTCCTTGCATTTCACAATGCTAGTATATTTAAGCACCAAAATTGACCCCGTGCCACGGCACGTGCAATAGCACGTGGGCCACGTGACCACTAGTGCGACAAGCTGGACTCATCTGCTCACCGGCTGCACTGATTTGGTGTCGCTAGGTGGAGTGGTTTCCACGCCATAGGACCCCCAGTTGGCCAATGTCGCATTTACCACGAGGTTACCCCATCAAACACGTTTGCACGTGGCACGTGCTTTTCAATCGCCCCATATCTGACCCATACCACGTGGTAGCCGACACCCCGGGACACAACATATTCGAACATTTTCAAAATCTAACGTGGAAATTTTTGGCAAAATCGATTTGAAAATAATTTTTCGAAAATGCCATAGGCTCAACATGGGGTAACTGTCGGCGTCGATTACCCGAAATTTTGTCATTTATATTTTAAATAATTACCCCCAGAAGGTGAGGTGCCAGCCAAAGAACTGACCCTAAAAATGTGGACAAATATTACTGAACAGATTTTGCGCAAATCGCATTTTCAATTTTTCCCCATGTTAACCCTATGGGAAAATGCACGTGCCGATTACCCCAAAACGGGTTAATTATATTTCAAGCAACCGGTACCAGCCGGTAGCTCCCCCATAGGGGACCAAACGCTGAAAATGGCAAGAAAATCTAACGAGCCGTTTTCGAGGGTATCAAGATGTCCTAAATCGCGGCAGAAACGCTAAACACCCCCCTAGAGAGGTAGCTCAGGTTGGGATTTTCAATAGAAAATCACAATTCTAAAGAATAGTGATTGTCTAATTGAAAAGTCCCAACCTTCGGATATTTCAAAGTTTAATCACAAATGGTCGAGGCTGATCGAGCTTCTCAAGAACAGCGAACGTCCGCCTTAGTTAGACACTAACAGTTACCAGGGGAGGGGAGGGAAGGGGGGGGGGGCGGCGGGGGAGGGAACAGCATGAGGGAACAGCACCGGCCACGGTAGTGAACCGAAGGCAATGTTATGGTCCTGCGCCCATACAGATACCGGGGGGCCACTGGCAGGGACAGGCCCAATTAGCCGTGTCCTAGGAGCAAACTGTGAAACTTGGCGTAATGCCAGGCACTCGGCGCGTCCGCTAAGTTACCGTCTGTCCCATACGTGTCGCTAAGATCGTTGTTTGAAATGGGAAATGGGCTATGATGAGAACTTTGTAAGAGGGTCTAGTGAACACGAATCAGCCACCGCTCCTATGACCCATCCGGGCCAACCCGGGACCGGTCTCTTCGACAGGGGCCGGTCGGCCGGCCGGGCGTGCGGGGCGCCGGCCCTACAAGTCGACGGCTCGCACGCCCGGCCGGTGGATAGGGGGAGCCGCCCGCGATACCGTTCGCCGGGCGGCTCGGGCGGTGGCTGATGGCCCTTGTGGGACTGTGTAGAAGGTGGATGTGAGCGGGCTGTTAGAGCGGTCTGTTTGTCAAGTGGCTATGTTAATAAACGTTGAGAAACGACAAAAAAAAAGCACTACAAGTAAAAAAAAAAAAAAAAACAACGTTGTTTGTCGCACCGCAGGCAGCCGAAGGCCGCTGGCGTGATGCTGCTGGGCACCGGCGGCTTCATCTTCCCCAAGACGACGCAGTACATGGAGACCGCCTGCGACATCGAGGAGGACAAGGTCATCCACCCGTTCGCCTTCCGGACGCACACACACGCCCTCGGTGAGCGTCGGTGAAGAAACACCCGGGCATGAACACGGGACAAATAATTACGCTTCAATGAAATTAGTTTTATGAAGAGTTTGTTGCAGGTGGATTTGAAATGATCGTGATAGTTTCATTTTCCATATATTTGGCGGCTTTATCATTTAATTTCTTACGATGTTTATCTTTTGTTAAGTGGCCAGTTGCATTTCTCATAAATCCAAAAAACACCCATACTTAAACAGCAAAACCTAAAACTTAGGTGTTTCACTGTACGTTTTAACCCTATTCCTGGCGGGGGGGGCCTCAGGAGCCCCCCCCCCTGAGGTTTTTTGGTTATTTCTCCCAAACGCGTTGAGCTAGGAAGCTCAAATTTTCTGACTTTTCCTAAAAGGCTTCTACGCAACATGTCTGAAAATTTTGAGTTGATCTGACCTCAGGTCAGGTCACCAGAGGCGGTTTGGTGACCCTACCTCAGAAAAGTTTGCAATCACGCCAGAGCTAGAGTTTTTGACCGATCAATTTCTTCTCTTCAGGGTTTAGTTAGGGTACCAGTATGTGCAATTTGTATATCTCGGAATTTTGATATCGGTGACCTAAGGTCAGGTCAATTTCGCGACCTCCCCATTATAAGTCAATGGGGGAAAAATCAACTCCCTGTTTTTACCACTAAAACGGGTCGGAATGGCCCCATATACCATACATGACTTCATATACGATCAACCTTCACTACCTTGAGGTCTGTTTTGCTGTTGGGCAGCTGTGAGGTCATGTGACGTCATCAAAGGTCACCAAAGGTTTTTGGCCAATAACTCCGTACAGGAACAAGATACAGACGCGTGGATGGTCTCATTGTGTTCAGCTCGTCAAGACGCATCGAATGATATACATGATGACCTCGAGGTCACGTGACCTGAGGTCAACCTTTGACCTTGACCTTTCGAGGTCAACATATATATCATTCGATGCGGATTGACGAGAGGATCACGATGATGCCCTTAGTTTGTTCCTATCTTGACTAATTCGAAAGTTATTCGAGAAAAACTCTCCATATCTAGCGCCGCCATTTTGACTTTTTCGACCCCTGTGACGTCATCTTTGACCTGACCTGAAAATGACCTTAGTAAAAATTGTAGATCTTGGCCGTGCGTATCCGATGCCGTTTACCGCTTGTCGCTATCTTGCTTCGTTCTCGAGATCTCAGGGGGGGCCGAATCGGCCCCCCCCCCGCCAGTTTCTTGTCCCGGCGGAGCCCGCCAGGAATAGGGTTAAACATTTTCATGTACACTTTCATATGACAAGCACACATGTTCGCGTTCTCCAGGCACGGTGGTTTCGGGCTGGAAGGTGCAGTACAAGGACGGCGAGTACAAATGGACGCTGATCGGCAAGATGGACCCGCAGCTGCCGCAGATGTTCTACCCGGTGCTGGACGACATCACTCTCACAAAGGGAGACATTGTGGTAGGTAGAGACGTCAACCTCACCAAGGGAGACATTGTGGTAGGTAGAGATATCACTCTCACGAAGAGCGACATTGTGGTAGGGATTTAGTTATAGACATCATCCTCAACAAGGGAGGCATTGTGGTAGGTAGGCAGGATGTTGAGAAAGGTCACTTTGCTTTTATGCAAAGAAATTAACAAGTGTACCTCTATCTGTCTTCATGCATACCTATTTAATGTATTTTGGCGTGCCCGCCGCGAAGGCTTTCCGTATTTAGAATTGTGACTGCCTTGATTTATAACAATCATGTGTATCGTCTTGGCATTGAGCTAAATTCTGTTGCAGGCCGCACGATGCACCATGAATAATTTCCGGTCCCGAATCACCAGAGTTGGGTAAGGATACACTTTGTACAATGCACACATAATTGCCTTGTTTCTTCGATTCACTTAAGGGACTATCCCACCTTCTAAAATGTTGTTAAAACCAGTTAAATTGTGCCTGACTTAATAGATTGGATGACCAGGAACACGGTTCTGGCATTTATTTTTCATTAAACATCTTAGGCTTCCCATATTCCAAACACAAACTTTCAAATATGTGACGTCACAGCCCAAAATTACCTCCTTCCCCAGGCCACATTACTGTCATAAAGCTGATTCTTTTTACTCTGTAGGCACCACAACAAAGTTCATACCAAGTTCTAAGCGATTTTTCAACGAACAAACCCATTTAAATCAGAATGACTAAACGAGGTGACGTCACACTAACGGTCGCTCCATGTTGAAGATAGGGCCTTGCACAAGGCCCATTTTCAAATGAAGGGAACGAATTTCTTCAACACCAAGAGGCCGCGGGGTTGCAACCTAGATAGATAGTGGTTTCTGAACCTCGTCGCAAACTTGGCTATCTCAACTCAAACCCCATGTTAAAGGTGGGATAGTCCCTTTAAGTCGAGCTAATAAAAATCTGTGCGAATTATAATACTCAGCCAGTAAACGCATTCATTTTGTTCAGTGGGCATACGTTACATATTACATAATGCACCATATCTGTAATTTTTATGCCCACAATAATATAAATAGAGCGCTGTTTCTGTCAATTAACTTGAAAAGTATTGAGTAATTGAAAAAGGACATTCATGTTGATAAAGAAACGTAAAGCTTAGTTTCTGTATCACGGAATATTGAAAATATTGCATTCATCGTTTCATTTCCGCGTATATGCATATCGTTTTGAAAATGTTCTGTCGCTACACTTGTGCTTGCACTGATAACGACTTGCTGTGGGGCATGTCAATGCATGGTGCTGCCATTCACATCCATCATCGTTTAAATCCAAGATGATATCAATGATTGCATGTACCATGATCAATGAGGCCACCAGAAAAGCGTTCAGCATAAACTTCAAACAGCAGCTCTTCCAGCGCTTTGGTCGCCAGCATGGACTTTTGCAGGATGCAGCGTGCATGATAGCAACCATGGTGAAGGCAATTAACCTGCTTTCTTATAACGCATTACAGTGGAAGCTTTGTTATCGCCATTCAAAACTCACTTCCATTCGTGTACTTTTTGCTTGAGACTTAAAGCTTTGTACTCGTATGGCTTTTGTTGTCAATACCAGGGCTGCGGAGTCGATGGATCTTAGGGTGACTACGACTCCGGCTTAAAAAATCGACTCCAACTTCGACTCCAACTCCCACTCCGACTACGGACGGTTCTATGAAAATTCATATCATGATACCCTATTGAAGTTTATAATGGAGATGTTTTCATCTTGCCTGAAACGAGCCTTTGTGCTTTCCAACGCTTTGCGTTGCTAATATGCATTATAAATATATTTGTCAAAAATTAAAAAAAAAATCATAAAAGTTGTATTTTAACCCGCGCCCTGCTGGGGGGTTAAAATACAACAGTGTTAAAAAATACAGTGTTTGAACACCCCCCCCCCTTGTGGTTTTACGCGAAGACGCCGTTTTTGGTACACCTTATCATACATAAATTCTACACAGGTTGTGAAAATTTCAGACCAAGGTCATTCAAGGTCAGGTCACCAGGTCACTTGAAGTGACCTCACCTCATAAAAAGTTTCAATGTCTGTCATAGCTACACCGAATGACCGATCGCTTTGAAACTTTCAGCGATTGCTAAGAGCAATAGTATGTACAAAATGTATATCTCAGAATTTAGATATCGATGATCTAAGGCCAGGTCAATTTTGCGACCTCCCCATTAGGTATAAGTCAATGGGAGAAAATTGAAATGCGCCTCTTTTGGACGAAAGACATTATAAACACTCCAAAACACCGAATTACAAGTGGTTTAGACACACTGAACATGAAAATGGTGTCCGTGACCCTTGTTTATGTCCTGAGGTCATCTTAGGTCACGAATGGTATCTAACAGTTTTTCGCAAATAACTTTTGATAGAGGCATGCTAGAGCGATGAAAACGCCTTAGATGTGTTCAGCTCGACGATACGGATCGACTGATATGCAACATGACCCTTTCCGGTCAGGTCATGACCTTGACCTGAGGTCAAATTTTCAAGTTGACCTTTCAAGGTCAAGTTATAGTTCATTCGATGCGTCTTGACGAGAGGAACACGATGCCGGTAAAAGTAAGCTCGTACAGGGCTTGGGTCAAAAGTTATTGCAGAAAAACTGTTTCCGAAAAAATCGGCTATTTTTGCAGTTTTTGCCCCCTGCAGGCAAAACCGTTGACGTTAGGTCAAAACTGAGAGAATAATTCAGAAAGGGCGTTAATAGGGCTATCGAATGCGCTTTTCCGCGGCGCTGTAGCTCTATTGGTTCCCGAGTTATGCGTTGGCTTCTTGGAAATTTTCGACATTCGACCTGGAAATCGGCGAAATTTTGCCTTCAATGACCTCTGGTGACCTGACCTTTGACCTGACCAAAAAATTGACCGAAGTGATTTCCTCATTATTTTTTACGCTCTTTCGAACGCCGCCTTCCGCGTATCGCTACGTGGCCCAGGAGCCGGGTTACAAGGGGGGGGGGTGTTCAAACATCTCCCCCCAGCAGGGCGTGGAAATCCAGGACCCCCAGCCGGGCGCGGGTTAATGACACAAAATGTGAAATGCTATTGAGGCATTAAATGTAACCAGTATTAACGATCTGGATGTATTATCGAATTATTCGCTAAAAACGATTAGTATTTTTCCATGGTAGGTATAGGATGCAACTGCGATTAAGCCTAACTTTGTTACTGATTAAAGAAACTTTTAAGGTTTTTTAACATTTTCCTGAGAAGAGGCATATGCCATTTTGTTTAACTAAATTAAATTACTGTTTTAAATAAACGAAGTAACGAGGCCAGAGCCCAGTCTAGGCTGAGCTTACTGCGCAGACCTTAGATTCTTATGCTTCCATCCTATCGGGACTTTCGGGCCATGACGCCACAGTTTATCGTGCACACACAGCTGAGCACGCTTTGTTCAACTTTCTGACTTCAACTGGCTGCGGCTGCGTCCACCAGTCGCAGTATATGAAACCCCGTCCGGAATTCCATATATCGAGTGCCAGAGCTAAACCTGCAAGGTTATTAGGCGATGAGATATACGCGAATGTCCACTCGAAAACACAAGCCAGCCCACTCACACGCATGCCTCAATTAAATTCATATAAGGTAAAGGCCTGGTCTACATTATACATCATGTATAATCATTCATCTTCTTCCTAGCTGGCGCTGTACTATGAGCATGTGGAAACCTCACTTTCAATTCAGATGCGGTAAAGTTTTCCATTTTCTCAACTTCGCTCACTGTCTTCGAAGATCCGAAAAAAAAAACATTGAGAGATTATATTGTGGTGCTGATAGTGATCAGCCCAGCCTTAAAGGTACCAAGCCTATGGAGAGTTTTGCACCTCACGGCCATTCTATTGCAGCCCCCGAGCCCAAGATGAAATGTGCAATTTCTATATGATGTACTGGACAAAGAGCAAGCCGGTTGGAAGGAGCCTTTGCATTACGCTGGGGCCGCCGTACTATTCGTGGAAGAGCAATGAGATGGGTATGCGCCAGTTTTCCAACGTGCCGTCCATATCGGCGGCCTCGGAGATCACGACCGAAGAGATCCGCGCCTACTTTGGCACACCGTGAACAATCGTCCCCAAGGTGTGTTCAAAGTGATCGGAGATCCACGCTCACGCACAGTTGTGGTCAGCAAAGGCCAGCGGCACGGATCGTTTGTCAGTCGCGGCTACTAGCTAATGGTTCGGCGATGGAAAACTGAAAATAAGTATTTATTTTCTCGTAAGCCAGGGTATCGTATTTCGAAATGCCTATCATTTTGATTTTTTGGGACAAACTAAAAGGTGACTTCCTTGAGCATTCAATGCTGCACCCATCCCTGCAACACAACGTTGGCGGTCAGTTCTCATGTACATAAGGAGCGCACACTGTTAAATGCACAGTGCTGTCATGCATTCACTCTGTAAATAGGTATGCCGCACGTGGTCCGTATGCCATCCATGGGTGAAGGGTTCCGGTGACCCAGAAGCCTCTTGCACCAGTATACCTAGCTAAGTAGAATCAGCAAGCTATGAATTTTCGCAGGGAAATGATAGGCATTCTGGTGCACGAGGCTCCAGTGGTTTTACCAATAGCTCGACTGCAAAATGTGTGTGTCCGAAAACCGTCCGTCCGTCCCCACCCCGGCGTGGCAAATAATGTGTGACGCTGTTTATAATCCGTGCTTCATAACTACTAAAAAGCAGTGACACCATACAAACACGAGCAATCGTGTATGTACCTTATGACCAACATCAAAACTGAGTCAGTCGCAATGCTGACGAGTTTTCATTTGAGACTAACTTGTAAAAATGAGCTTACTTGTAAATAGTAAACTGCCTAACCGGGTACCTTATTAATTAGCTAATGTGATCAGGACAAACCACCAAAGCGAAAGGTGACCACCATTGGGCCAATGTTACAGAGCCACTGCCGACGACGAGATGTGCAATTTCTACATGATGTACTGGACCGAGCAGTCGCTGCTTTCCAAGGCCTACTGCTTCAGCTGGGGGCCGCCACTCTCGTACTGGCACCGCATACCCATGGGCTTCTGGAAACTGTTCTCCTTCCCGTGGCTCACCGGGATCCCCGAGGACAAACGCGCCTCGGAGATCGACAAAAATGAACTGCGCTCCTACTTTTTCGCCAAAATGCGAAACACGTAACTTACTCAGCCTGAAACAGGAATTAAGTCACTCTCAGGATCAGGATAAGAGTCATTTGGTTATCACAGAACAACACGGCAGACAAGGCGTAGTTTAAACATTTAAAAAAAATGCGAAAAATGCGAAATATTAAACGCGTAGCAGGCTATGGTGCATTTTCTGTGAAAATGATATCCATGCACGCTTCATTCACCC